CATGCCTTGATCCGCTACTGTTCGAATTGCATTTAGCTAATAACAATGGAAGATAATTGAAAGTTACCACTCAGCACGTACTCCATAACACTGATATGAAGCAGTTGTATCGAAAATTTCCATTTAAATGAATATGCTAGTTGAAACAACTTTATTACATACTTTTGGTAAGAACAAGAGCAGGATTGAATGTGGTGGCTGAAATTCTATATCATATAAAACCGGAGGTTATAGATTGCCCCTCTATAACGTATTCCACCATGAGATAACCAGACACACAGATAGATTAATTCTTCTTTTCAAACATTCGCCCTATAAACGAAAAAATATTATTACTTGGTGGGACCTGTTACCTGGTCAGAGAATTTATAAGAAATCACCCTTCCCCTTCTTTCCCCAATATAATCCCACTCTTAAGAGAGTGTCAATTTTTTTTAAACATCCCTAATATTCTAAATAACGTTAAGGCGTGGACTAAACACTGGAGAAAGGTCAGTCCATATATATCTCGCACGGGAGAGCAAGAGTAATAATAATGTTTATAATGCTACAGCAGCAGGTATAGTAAAAAGAATCATACGAAAAGAAAAAGGGGGATACGAAATAACTATAGTGGATGCATCAGATGGACGTGAAGTGATTGATATTATACCTCCAGGACCAGAACTTCTTGTTTCAGAAGGAGAATCTATCAAACTTGATCAACCATTAACGAGTAATCCTAATGTGGGTGGATTTGGTCAAGGGGATGCAGAAATAGTACTTCAAGATCCGTTACGTGTCCAGGGTCTCTTGTTCTTCTTGGCATCCATTATTTTGGCACAAATCTTTTTAGTTCTTAAGAAAAAACAATTTGAGAAGGTTCAATTGTCCGAAATGAATTTCTAGGGCTTCGGATTTATCAACATATTAAGTTCGTGAAAAGAACGAAATTTTTGTTGATAATTTATATAATTCTATTATTCTTTAGAATATAATAAAAAAAATTATGAAAAGACCCTTGCTTCTTTCTAGTCTTTTTCTACTATATTTAGGATTTAGGGAATTCCTTTTGTACCGTAATACTAGTCAGTTATAGTATGTATATTGTGAAGAAGACTATTTGACTTTGTTTCTTTGTTTTTTTTTTCATATTTCAATGTTCTAGAGAATAGAAAGTTCTAGAATCAAAATTTTCTTCTATTATAATAGAAGAAAATTCGATTCGATACTAAACCCAAAATAGATAGGCAGAAAATTTTAAGCAAAGTAGAAATTAAAATGGGGAAAACGGGATTCTAGGAGGGATTTTTTTCTTTTCCTAGAGTCCGATTCCTTCTTGCTTGTGTCGAAATAGAAATATTCTACAAAATATTAATAGAATATGATTTTTGAATCCCCTTCCTGAAATAAGCCTATTCTTAGCTTAGTTTCGATTTTTTCCAACTTAGAACTTTTATGACATATAATATTTTTTTTTATTGGATGCATATAATATAATACGTAGTGGACAAACAAAAAAGAGAGGGAATTAGGGAATTTGATTGACCAAATCCAATTTCTTCAATTAATTTGTTTATAAAAAAAAAAGAATTCAATCATGATTCGATATCATTAGAGACTAAAATAGATTTCGATCTAGAGTAAGATTCTATTAGTATAGTATAGAAAAGGCTCGATTCACATGATATTTGATCGGTATAATAGATATATATATATCCATATGAAAATTAGAAATACAATAGAATCAATTTCCATTGCGTCACCCAGAAGAAGTAAATTAAGTGATTTTTTTAATTCTTCTTTTGATTTTTCTTTCAACTTTAAAGAAAAAAAAAAGTATGGATGGACAAATATTATCCAGGAAAAGGGATATTTTGAAAAAATGAATGAAGTTCATTTTTCAAAAACATCAAAAAAGGGGAAATGGAGTTTTTTGAAACATCAGAAAAAGTTATCTATTCATTCATTTATACGAATAAAAAAAATTATTAAAAAATATTATGATTATTAAAAACTCAACAGGGATCCACTCTTTCTTTGACGAATTTGAGGGGGTCCTGTTGAGTTCTTACGCTTTCATTTCGAAGACTCAAATAATACGATTCCTACAGGGATGAGCCCAATCCGGAATATGAACCATAAAAGAAAATACCAATTAAACCAATCACAGGAATACCAGTTACAGTACCTATTATCCAAAGAGGAATCCTTCCAGTAGTATCGGCCATTTATCCCACTTTCCTCCACATTTGATCAAGTAGTCAGTCATGCTAGAGACATAAACAGTCATAGATAATTATGAAATGATATCCTTCCGAACGAGATAAGAGAATTCCGAATATATATATATAATTTACTATTCCCTTTTCTTATATTAATTGAAGAAATAATTTGAAAATAAAACAGCAAGTACAAAAATGAGTAATAACCCCCAGTAGAGACTGGTGCGATTCAATTCAACATTTTGTTCATTTGGGTTTGATTGTGTCGTAGCTCTATAATTCGAATTAGGTTTATCGTTGGATGAACTGCATTGCTGATATTGATCCCAAAAAAGAAACGGTGGGTACCGCAAGTCCGTGAACAGCCAACCATCGTACTGTAAAAATTGGATAGGTCCTATCTATGGTCATTGGAGCCTCCTAAAAAGATCTACTAAATTCATCGAGTTGGTCCAAAGGATCAAAACGGCCAGTTATTAATGGAATTCCTTTTCGACTCTCTGTAAAATACTCGTTTGGGCGGGGGCTTCCAAATAAATCGTAAGCTAAACCCGTGCTGACAAATAACCAACCTGCAATGAATAGGGAAGGTATAGTAATGCTATGAATAATCCAGTATCGAATACTGGTAATAATATCAGCAAAAGAACGTTCTCCTGTGCTTCCAGACATGTCGAACTCCACATATTCTTGTACAGTCAAAAGGGGGATCGATTCCATAAAAGACGAGATCAGTAAGTCGTAATTTACTGAAATGTAATCCTTGTTAGATCGTCCATTTTGTACCAAGGGTGTCTTTTGAGTATACCGAATCAGTATAACTATCCTTCTTCTAACACAGCAACGAAATTTCACAATCAGTGGCGAAATCTAATACTAGATAAGTTCTTTCTTTATTGGTTGTTTCGATTTACTCAATAGAAAATTCCTCAAAGTTTGCGAATATAAAAAAATTAGAATAATAGTCTAAAATGAGGGTTCTCCACATTGTATTATTAGTTTCGGACTAGAAACGGAAGATCAATTAAAATGTGAATACGACGGATTGATTTCTTATAATTCATAAAGAAGATTATCATATTTCTACAATTCAATTAGATCCCAAATCTATAAATATACTTTATTGTGGTTGTCGAAGATATTTTTTGTTCGAACTCCCTCTTTTTTTTCATTTTAAAGAATGGAATTCGACTTTAAAGAATGGAATTGGTTTGTTGTCCAGTAACAAGTAACAATAATAGCAGTAATAGATACTATTTGATGACATAAAAAGAACAATTAATCCAATTTTGAAAAAAAAAAATTGGATTAATTGTTCTTGTATTAAACACAATAAAGGCTCTTTCTTGGCTTAATTATAAGGATAGACCTTTCCTCTTAAATAAAATATGCAGAGAAAAAAACTGTGGAACCCTAGTTTGGAGTGATCTGATACCTTTTTCTTCTCGTTGTAGATATTCGAAGAATGGAACCTACTACAAAATGAAATGAGTTAAAAGAAAAGTCAAAAAGGAAAGGGCATTCTAAGATCACTCTA